ACCTACCCACCACCTCCCCACCGAGCCGGTCGAAGCACCTACCCACCACCTCCCCACCGAGCTGGCCGAAGGACCTAGCCACCACCTCCCCACCGAGCCGGCCGAAGCACCTACCCACCACCTCACTAGCGAGCCGGCCGAAGCACCTACCGACCACCTTCCCACCCAGCCATACGAACCACCTACCCACCACCTCCCCACCCAACAGACCGAAGCACCTACCCACCACCGCCCAACCGAGCTAGTCGAAGCACCTACCCACCACCTCCCCACCCAGCCAGCCGAAGCACCTACCCACCACCTCCCCACCGAGCCGGCTGAAGCACCTACCCACAACCTCCCCACCGAGCCGGCCGAAGCACCTACCCACCACTCCCCACCCAGCCGGTCGAAACAACTTATCACCACCTCCCCATCGAGCCAGCCGAAGCACCTACCCACCACCTCCCCACCGAGCCGGCCAAACAACCTACCCACCACCTCCCCCCACCAAGCCGACCGAAGCACCTACCCACCACCTCCCTACTGAGCCGGTAGAAGCACCTACTCACAACCTCCCTACCAAGTGGGTCGAAGCACCCACCCACCACATCCCAACCGAGCCGGCCGAAGCACCTACCCATCACCTCCCCACCGAGCCGGCCGAAGCACCTACCCACCACCTCCCAACCGAGCCAGCCGGAGCAACTTCCCACCACCTCCCCACCGAGCCGTCTGAAGCACCTACCAACAACGTCCCCATCGAGCCGGCCGAAGCACCTCCCCACCGACCCGGTGGAAGCACCTACCCACCACCTCCCCACCTAGCCGACCGAAATACCTCCCCATTGAGCCCGCCGAAGCACCTCCCCACCACCTCCCCACCGAGCCGGCCAAAGCACCTCCCCACCACCATCGCACCGAGCCGGCTGAAGCACCTACCCACCACCTCCCCACCGAGCCTGCCGAACCACCTACCCACCACCTCCCCACTAAGCCGGCCGAAGCACCTACCCACCACCTCCCCAGCAAGCCTTCCGAAGCACATCCCCACCGACCCAGCCGAAGCACCTACCCATCACCTCCCCACTTAGCTGACCGAAACACCTACCCACCACTTCGCCATCGAGCCGGCCGAAGCAGCTCCGTAGCGAGCCGGACGAATCAACTACCCACCACCTCCCCATCGAGCCAGCCGAAGCATCTACCCACCACCTCCCCACCGAGCTGGCCGAAGCACCTACCCACCACCTCCCCACCCAGCCAGCCGAAGCACCTACCCACGACCTCCCAACCGAGCCGGTCGAAGCACCTACCCACCACCTCCCGACCGAGCCATACGAAGCACCTACCCACCACCTCCCCACCGAGATGACCGAAGCACCTACCCACCACCTCCCTACTCAGCCGGTCGAAGCACCTACCCACCACCTCCCAACCGAGCCGGCCGAAGCACGTACCCATGACCTCCCCACCGAGCCGGCCGAAGCACCTACCCAACACCTCCCTACCGAGCCGGCCAAAGCACCTACCCACCACCTCCCCACCCAGCCGGCCAAAGAACCTACCCACGACCTCCCAACCGAGCCAGCTGAAGCACCTACCCACCACCTTCCCACCCAGCCAGCCGAAGCACCTACCCACCACGTCCCCACCGAGGCGGCCGAAGCACCTACCCACCACCTCCCCACCGATGCGGCCGAAGCACCTACCCACCACCTCCCCACCGAGCCGGCCGAAGCACCGACCCACTACCTCCCCACCGAGTCGGCCAAAGCACCTCCTCACCACCTCCCTATCCAGCTGGCCGAAGCACCTACCCACCACCTCCCCACCGGGCCGACTGAAGCACCTACCCACCACCTCCCCATCGAGCCAGCCGGAGCACCTACCCACCACCTCCCCACCGAGCCGGCCGAAGCACCTACCAACAACCTCCCCACCAGCCGGCCGAAGCACCTCCCCACCGACAAGGTCCAAGCACCTACCCACCAGCTCCCCACCGAGTCGCCCGAAGCACCTACCCACCACCTCCCTACCGAGCGGGTCGAAGCACCTCCCTACCACCTCCCCACCGAGCCGGCCGAAGCACCTCACCACCACCTTCCCACCAAGTCGGTCGAAGCACCTACCCACCACCTCCCCAGCGAGTCGGCCGAAGCGCCTACCCACCACCTCCCCACCGAGCTGGCCAAAGCACCTACCCACCACCTCCCCACCGAGGCGGCCGAAGAACCTACCCACCACCTCCCCACCGAGCCGGCTGAAGCATCTACCTTCCACCTTCCCACCGAGCTGGCCGAAGCACCTACCCACAACCTCCCCACCGAGCCGACCGAAGCACCTACCCACCACCTCCCCACCGAGCCAGTCGRAGCACCTACCCACCACCTCCCCACTGAGCCGGCCGAAGCACCTACGAACAACCTCCCCACCGAGCCGGCCGAAGCACCTCCCCACCGACCTGGTCGAAGCACATACCCACCACCTCCCCACCGAGCCAACCGAAGCACCAACCCACCACCTCCCCACCGAGCAGACCGAAGCACCTCCCCATTGAGCCCGCCGAAGCACCTCCCCACCACCTCCCCACCGAGCCGGCCGAAGCACCTCCCCACCACCTCCCCACCGAGCCGGCCGAAGCACCT